TATTTTCCTTCTTACTTCTTTGGCCATAATTGGCCATGTGTCTCAATCCTGTCTTAAATCATGGAATTATCATGAATGAGTTGACTAGTCAAGACCTACCTCCTGTACCTGGGGAGCACTCCAGCCTGCAATCTCAAGAGGTCTGCTTAAGGATAGTTAATGAAACATGGACAAAATTGGGCATCTGTTAGGAAGTGTCTCTTATGCAGAGTAGGAAGCTGACCATTAGTGATATAAGTGCCTGTTATCTGCTGAGTTAGGGTACATTTAGGGAAATAGTATGAGATCCTTGCCTTTTAGAAGTGTGATATAGTATAGGAGGAGTACTTGTTCTAACAGAAAAGAATACACAGGTATATAGCAGGAAAGCACCTGCTTCTATTCATAGAAGTTAAGATATGCATCTTCTCAGATATTAAATTACTATACTGGGTTATTAATAACTTGTGAACTCTCCCTGAGTACCCCTGATATCAGGAGGTGGTCTTTGTGGCCTGGTCACTGTCTACCCACAATTATCGTAAGTTCTCATTTATGGTCAGGAGGCCTTTACATCACAAAGACACTTAAGTCCTAGGGAAATTCCAAGGTTTCAGTGGGTATCCCTCAGGAACCAAGGACAAAGATAAATTTTTTGGGTAAAGTTCAGTTCTTTACCTCATAGCATTCTATTTAAATCAGAGTTGGCAAACTTTTCCTGTAAGGAACCTGTTAGTAAGTATTTTAGATAGTCAGCTCTGTCACTGTTGTACAAAAGAGGCTATAGACAATGTGTAAACAAATAAGTTTGGCCACATTCCAATAAAACTTAATTTACAGAAACAAATGGTGGGCTGCACTGATGGTGCAGAGGTTAAGCACTCGGCTGATGAACAAAAGGTCGGCAGATCAAATTCACCAGGCGGTTTCTTGGGAGAAAGATGTGGTAGTCTACTTCCTTAAAGATTATAGCCTTGGAAACTGTATGTACAGTCTATTCTATCCTATTGGATTGCTGTAGGGTGACTGAATCAATTCAGTGGCAGTGGATTTTTGATGAATTTGGCCCAGGGCTTTCAAATATTTAATAGCACTAGTTTTCTCTTGGCTCTTCCTTTTTCTTCAGTATGTTTTTTATATTCTTACTTGTCCATTCATTTAATTTTTTTAAAGTGTGGGCTCTTCTCTCCCCGCCCCCCTCCGACATTTAGCTTTATTTTATTGTGGTAAAATATACATAACTAAAAATTTACCACATTGTAATGTATAATGCAAGCGCTCTGGTAGCTTAGTGCCTAAGGCATTTTACTGCTAACTAGAAGGCTGGCGGTTCAAACCCACCAGCCACTCCTCAGAAGGTTGGGCAATCTACTTCTGTAGGGATACCTCCTCAGAAACCCAAGGAGGGGTCACTATGAGACAGGTCTGACTCGATGGCATATGTCAACAAAACAACAACAATGTATAATGCTGTGGTGTTAAGTACTTTCACAGTGTTGTGTAACCATCACTACTATCTATTTCTGGAGATCTTTTTTTTAATCATCTCAAAAAGAAACTATATACTCATTAAAAAATAATGCTCATTAGGTCCTGATAACTTCTATTCTGCTTTCACTCTCTGAATTTGCCTGTTGTAGACACCTCATATAAATGGGATTATACAATATTCGTGTGTGTGTGTCTAGCTTATTTTATCAGCATAATATTTTCAAGGTCATCCATGTTGTAGCATGTATCAAAACTTCATTCCTTTTTTATAACTGCATAATATTCCATTGTGTATGTACCACATTTTATTTATCTGTTCATCTTTAGGTGGACAGTTGGGTAGTTTCCACCTTTTGGCTATTGTGAATAATATGAACATTTGTGCACAGATACCTGTTTGAGTCTCTGTTTTCACTTCTTTTGGGCATATACCTAAGAGTGGAATTTTGAGGTCACAAAGTAATTCTATGTTGAACTTTTTTGATGAACAACCAAACTGTTTTCCACAGCAGCTGCACCATTTGAAATTCCTTCCAGCAATGCAGAAAGGTTCCAATTTCTTCACATCCTCACCAGCCCTTTTTTTTTTCATAAAGGATAGCCATCCTAGTGAGTGTGAAGTGATATCTCGTTGTAGTTTTAATTTGCATTTCCCCTAGATGCTAATGATATTGAGCATTTTTTCATGTGTTTATTAGCCATTTTAGGAGTTCTGGTGGTACAGTGATTAAGCACTCAGCTTTTAACTGCAAGGTCAACAGTTGAAACCCACCAGCTCTTCCACAGGTGAAAGATGTGGCAATCTGCTTCCATAAAGATTGCAGCCTTGGAAACCCTATAGGGCAGTTCTACTCTGTCCTGTAAAGTCACTATGAATCAGAATCAACTCGATGGCAATTAGATTTTGGTAGCTCAGATGGTTAAGCACTTGGCTACTAACTCAAAGGTTGGCATTTCAAACCCATTCAGCTGCTCTGTGGGAGAAAGACTTGGCAGTATGGTTCTATAAAGATTATGGCCAAGGAAGCCCTATGGGGTCAGTTCTGTTCTGTCACATGGAGTTGCTATGAATTGAAATAAGTTACATGACACCTAAGAGCAACAGCAAAATTGGCTATTTGAACATCTTTGGAGAAACGTTTAAGTCCTTTGCCCATTTTAAAACTGTTGGTGGTGAGTTGTAAGAGTTCTTTATATATTCTGGATCTCAATCCCTTATCAGTTTCACTGGTTGGTACAGACAATTAACAATTTCTATTGCAAACCAAAAGTCCACCCAGAGGCACCTTGAAAGAAAGGCTTGGCCATCTACTTCCAAAAAGTCACTGTTGAAAACCCTATGGAATACTCTGACACACAAGGGAATGAATCAGAATCAACATTGTCATGGTTTTAATCTCTTATCAGAGTGATGATTTGCAAATATTTTCTATGTTCTTTCGGTTTTCTTTTCACTTTCTTGATAGTGTTCTTTGATGCACAAAAGTTTTTAATATTGATTGTCCAGTTTTGGAGAGTCAGCAAAAAAGAGGAAGCCTCAATGAGATGAATTGACACAGTGGCTGCAACAGTGGGCTCAAACATAGTAACAATTGTAAGGATGATGCAAGACCAGGCAGTGTTTCATTTTGTTGTACATAGCACCATTATGAGTCAGAACTGACCTGATGGCACCTAGCAATCACAATTTATCTTTTTATTTTTCTGTTATTGCATGTGTATTTCATGTCATATCTAAGAATCCACTGCCGTATCCTAAGTGACATGAAGCTCTTGCCCTGTGTTTTCTTCTAAGAGTTTTATAGTTTTAGCTTTAGGTCTTTGATTCATTTTGAATTGGCTTTTATATGTGGTGTAAACTAAGAATTCAACTTCCTTCTTTTGCGTGTGGATACCTAGTTTTCTCACTGTCATTTGTTGAATAGATTGTCCTTTCCTTCTTGAATAGTCTTAGTACCCTTGTTGAAAATCAGTTGACCATGTATGTGAGGGTTTATTTCTGAACACTATTTTATCTCATTGATCTGTATGTCTGTTGTAAACCCAACCACACTTCTTTTATTACTATAGCTTTTCAGTAAATTTTTAAGTCAGAAAGTTAAGTTCTCCCACTTGGTTCTTCTTTTCCAAGTTTTTTCTTTTAATGAGTTTGGGTGCCTTGAATTCATATGAATTTTAGGATGAGTTTTTCTGTTTCTGTGAAAAATGATGCTGAGAGTTTGATAGGGATTGAGTTGAAATCTGTTGCCTTGGGTTCTATTATTTTAATAATAAACACTGTCATGGAGTCAAAGAATATTAAGTTGAAAGGGATTTTATTTCTTTTCCAGAATTCCCAAACTGCAGCTGCAGAAAATTAGCAGAATTATTGTTGTCATGTGCTGTGGAGTCAGATCCAACTCGTAGCGACCCCTCCTTGGGTTTCCGAGGCAGTATCACTACAGAAGTAGATTGCCCTCTCTTCCTTCCGAGGGGTGGCTTGAACCGCCAGCCTTCTGGTTAGCAGTCATGTGCCTTAGGCACTATGCTACCAGATCGCCTAATTAGCAGAATAGGCAGTCTTTAAAATAAAATAAAAACAAAAAGTTAGATTTTAAAACTTTTACTAGTAGAATATATATCAAACTTGACCTAGCCCTAATATTCCCTACCACTTCACCCTTTCCAATATCATTTAAATCACCTCTCCCCCCAGCCCCTCCTCCGAAGGAAGGTTGGGCAGTCTAGTCTACTTCCCTAGTGATACCGCCTCCCTTGGAAACCCAAGGAGGGGTCGCTATGAGTCAGATCTGACTCGATTGCAGTGCGTTGTATTTGCTGTATGCTACTTTGGAAGCTTTTACGTGACCCATTTTATATGCCCATCTTTCTCAGTACTAAGGAAACTTAAGGCCTAGAGAAGTTGAGTTGCTGAAGAGCACATTATAAGGGGCAGGATCAGGTCCTTAAACCTTGATCTCTTAAAGGCACAGTTGATTTTTTTTTTACCAAAGCTCTGGTGATTTGCATTGACTAGACAAATAGAAAGTCTTGGTACCCACCATGATTAGGGAAGATGAAGAAATCAAGGAAAAATGAAGTTTTATCTTAAATAATATAAATAAAAATCAAACCAAACTCACTGCTGTCGAGTTGATTTCGACTCATAACCCCTTCTTGGGTTCCTGAGGCAGTATCTCTACAGAGATAGATTGCCCAGTCTTCCTTCCAAGCAGTGGCTGGTGGGTTTGAACCTCCAGCCTTCTGGTTAGCAGTCAGATGCCTTAGACACTACACCACCAGAGCTCCTTTAAATATATATTAAAAAAAAAAACAAAGAGTGCCTTCGAATCGATCCAACTCAAAGTGACTCCTCCTTGGGTTTCCGAGGCAGTCTTACTTCGGAAGTAGATTGCCCAATCTTAAATAACATAGGTAGGTTCAAATTTATTTTATAGTTATATATATTTTTAGAGAGACCTTTTTAATAGATTTCTTATATCTGTTTACTATGTTTCATAATAAGTCTCTCTCTCTTTTTTTTTTTTTAGCTACAAGGCTTTGGGCGACCAAGTGTATATCATGCTGCTGTTGTCATCTTCCTTGAATTCTTCGCATGGGGCCTATTAACAACTCCTATACTAACTGTAAGTATTGCTGAACTGGGTCTTATTTATAAGATTAGAAGAGTTTTAATTTTGTTAATTTTTTGTTATGGAGAATATACACAGCAAAACATAAACCATTTCAACAGTTTCTACATGTATAATTCAGTGACACTGATTACATTCTTTGAGTTGTGCAATCATTTTCACCCTCCTTTTCTGAATTCTTCATTCCCCATTAACATAAACTCACTGCTCCCTAAGGTTCCTATCTAATCTTTCAAACTGCTGTTGTCAGTTTTATCCCATGTAAATAGATCTTGGAAAAGCACAGTGCTCAAAGCAGACATTCTTTACTAGTTGAGCTAAATTATTGTTTGGTTTGAAGAAAGTTTAAAGATAATCTCAGGGCAATAGTTGCAAAAGTTCATCTAGCCTCCATGGTACCACAAAGTCAGAAGTTAAGAGAATTTGAAATTTTGTTAAGTGTTTTCCCCTTTTTAATCAAATCACATACCCTGTTATTACAGTTGTTATTACTAAGTTGTACACCTGTAAAAAGTTGAATTGGCAGAAGTTATGTGATAGTGCATAACTAATTTATTTTAGAAAGATCAGCACAGAGCTTGTTCCTATGAAGCAGAGGTTAAAGATGTCCCAAATGTCTAACTTTTCCAAACTGCTGTTACCATTCCATCATCTCTAACATCAACTACTACTGCTCCCCTCAGTCCTCTCTCTCCCATCTTTGGGTTCCATAATTCATTGCAACATCTCACAGAACTCACAAACAGTTAAGGAAATGGCTTAGGAAGTTGTGAAGGCTGGCAAATCCCAAATCCTTGGGTCAGGAGTGAGGCTGGAGGCTTTTTCTGACTCATGTGGTTGCAGTGGCTGATGAACCCAAGTCAGGAGGTTGGACAGCAGTCTGCTATCTCATAAGGCTGCAGAAGCTAGCAAATCAGTTAAGAAAATAGGCTATTGGCTCAAGTTCCAAGAATGAGGGGTCAGATCATGACAAGCTAGATTAGGATTTGGCAAGAGAAAACTTTGCCAGAGCATTCTTACATGTTAGATGTAGGCCATGCTTTCAAGAAAAGTCCCTTTACTTGGGGAGCTCTGGTAGCATAGTGCCTAAAGGCACTTGACTGCTAACCAGAAGTCTGGCAGTTCAAACCCACCAGCCACTCCTCAGAAGGAAGGTTGGGCAATCTACTTCTGTAGTGATACTGCCTCAGAAACCCAAGGTGGGGTCGCTATGGGTTGGATCCGACTCCGTGGCAGTGTGTTGTGTTTCGTTGTGTTTATGCCAATCAAAGGAGATCTGGTGGCTCTGTAGTTAAAGCATTGGGCTGCTAACCAAAGAGAAAGGTCAGCAGTTCAAGCCCACCAACCACTCTGTCAGAGAAAGATCAAGCAGTCTGCTTCCATAAAGATTTACAGCCTTGGAAAACTTATGGGGCCCTTACACTCTGTCCTTTAGGGTTGCTACAAGTTGGAATCAACACATTGGCAGTGGGTTTGTTTTTTGATTTATGCCAATCAAAGCAAACAATCCATCTTTTTTTTTTTTTTTCAGTGCACTTTCCAAATGAACCAATTTGTATCCAAAAGTTTCTTTAAGTAGTAACCCAGGATCTAAACCATGTTTAGTGAAATTATACCATTTAGAAAGATCAGCACAAAAATTGGGAATGGGAGAACACATAGAACGTAGATTTTCTTGAAAAAGAAAACAACTGAGACTTAAAAGGCTCCATGAAATTTGGCAATCAGGTCCAAACCTGGTGTCAGGCAGGAAAACCAGACAGAGCTCTCTCTAGATCAAAACCAAGTTCCCAGAATAAGACTACAGGAGACAAACAACAGTTTTTATACATCAATATATTCTTAAATAGCATAAAGCAAAACAAATAGGAAATCCTGTTCCCAAAAGTAGCTACAATACCAAGCTCATTTTGGCAAGGTCAATCTATTTCTACAGAAAGAAAATCAGGTTTTAAGTCCATAATTTAATTTGGTAAAGTCTCAGATAGGAAGGTCTCAGCCCTTTACACTTGGCTGAATTCATTTTAAAATGTACCTTGGACCTCTGTTGGACCCAGTCCAAAGAGAGTATTTAAATAAAGTGAATAAGAACTAATAACAACCTAAACCAAAAACCATACTCAGTGCCGTTGAGTGGTTTCCAACTCATAGCAGCTGCTCCTTGGGTTTCTGAGGCAGTATCTCTACGCAAGTAGATTGCCCAATCTTCCTTCCAAGGAGTGGCTGGTGGGTTTGACCCTCCATCTTTCTGGTTAGCAGTCAAATGCTTTAGGTACTATGCTATTAGAGCTCTTAATAACAACCTGTTGTTGTTGTTGTTATGTACCATCAAGTCAGACCTGACTTATAGCGACCACTCCTTGGGTTTCTGAGGCAGTATCTCTACGGAAGTAGATTGCCCCATCTTCCTTCCGAGGAGTGGCTGGTGGGTTTGAACCGCCAGCCTTCTGGTTAGCAGTCAAGTGCCTTAGACACTTCACTACCAGAGCTCCCATAGACGTCCAAAAAAAAAAAAAAAATTGTTCCTTAAAATGGTCACCACTGATTTAATCTTTACAGCTCACAACAAAATAGTTAACTCATTTTCAAGAAACAATGTGGTGGTTAAGTTTGTGTGCTAACTTGGCTAGGCATGGTTGAACAGCTGGGCAGTTGGATGTAGTATTCCCCATGATGAGACTGGTAATCAACTCCATAGCGAAATCTGCTGTGAACAGCAGAGTAGCTGCCTTTGGGTATGTGGTCTGCTTCCCCTATATAAGAAACAGCTTTGGGAATGGTCACCAGTTTATGGTATGTTTGAACCCTGAATGTAGCTGTGTCGTTGTTCAGCAGCCTGCCATGTGGTTTGGTAACATCAGGACTGTGCCTTTTACTTGTCAACCTTGGGTTTGTCAGTCTCAGCAGCCAGCAGCTATCTAAGTGAAGAAAAGCCTCTAGCTCCAGTGGACAAGGAGCAGGAGGCAGAGCTGAACCCCGAGATTGAAGGGCTTTCCTCCAGCCCCTAGAACCTGGCACTTTGAACTTGGACTTAAAGCCTCTAAATTTTAAGAATAAATTCCTTTTGGTTCAAGCCATCCCATTTGTGGTATGTTCTTGTCAGAGCAGCACTAGATAACCAGAACAGATTGCTAAGATAAAAATAATAAGAAATGCTGGTGAGAATGTGGAGAAATTGGAACTCTTACCCATTATTTGTCCACCTTGGGGTTGTTAGCCTCAGCAGCCAGTAGCTGCCTGAGTGAAGAGATGCCTCAAGCTTCAGTGGGCTGGGAGAAAGAGGCAGAGCTAAAGCCCAAGGTCGAGGGGCTTTCACACAGCCTCTAGAGCCTGGCACTTTGAACTTGGACTTAAAGCCTCCAAACTGTGAGAGAATAAACTCCTATTTGTTAAGGCCATCCCATTTGTGGTATCTTCTTTTAGAGTGGGACTAGGTAACCTGAACAAACATGCAGCTCCAGAGTGGAAAGGAAAGCAAATGGGAGCCCAGTTCCCTGAGTAGCCACTAGAAATTCAAGTCATCTTTGGTATAATCAAACCACTTACTCAAAAACACACAGCATGCAGCTGCATACTGAGAAGATACGTAAGAAGCAGGGGTCTTAGGAGAGAGGAGAAGGAGATTTAGAACAGGAGTCCATGCTTAGAATCCCTACAAATGGCTGTCTGAAGGAACATGAAATAGAATAAAAGTGTTACTCACCAAGATCACTTCTGACCTCCAAATCCAAGTCATGCCAAGCTTGAATTGCTTAAAAAAATCTGAGAGCTCAAAACAGAAAAGAAGCAGAGCTCAGACTTGGCAGAGACAGGACTTAGCCCTCGGACTCCAGCCAGGGTTGGTGAGGGATCAGCGAACACAAGGACTCCTGTGGATGCTGACACATTGTCACTTATCAACCGCAGGATCCTTTGAGGGTCTTTTCTGGATCCTGCTCTGACACCTAATAACTTTCAAAAATAAAGCAACTCAAAATACCATTAACAGATAGCTATGCAGGTTTAAAGACAACTTTAAAGTTGGGGAGCACATCATTACCAAATAAATCAATGCTCCAGTTAACTAAGAATTTTAGGGTGCTTATATATAATTTCATGAGGAATTTTGAACAAAAAACATTTAATTGGTTGATGATTATAGCAAGATACAGAAATATTATGAGAGAGCAATATATGCTCAAACATTATAAAGAACAGAAAAATACAAATTTTGCCAAGACAATCACATGATAAGTAACCCATGATTATAAGGTTTCTGAAGTTTTAGAAACAGAACATGTTCATTAATCTTGAATTGTTTTCTGAAAGAACAAATTTCAGTGTTTCAGTGAGCCTGATAATCTAAATACAATTATGTGAAACTAGGTAAGCTATTTTTAAAGGTTAATTATGGTTTAAGGTATAACTATAAGCTTTAAAAATTTTGTGTGTGTGTGTGTGTGTGTGTATGGTTATGCAGTGAATCAGTTGTTAACATTTAATAGTATGATCTTTAATGTCATGGTAAGAGAACTCTGTTTTCATAAAGTGAAACATATAATTTTCTTTTATAATCCACAAAGTTTTGGAAGCAGATTGCCAGGACTTTCTTCCAAGGTGCCTCTGGGTAGGTTTGAACCTTTAACCTTTTAGTTAGTAGTTGAGCATTTAACTAGAGCAGGGAAACTTACATACTTTTAGAGGACTTATTGTGATTTTAATGTAAAGTAATCTGATTAAATGAATTTAAGTATCTTCAGATATATTTAACTTATGCACATATTTCAATAGTTATATTGAATGCTAGTCCCTATAAGTGAAGAATTTCATTTCTTTCAAATTGCAGATCTTCCCCCCCTGCCAAAGCTAAGCTTCCTGAAATCCTGCTAGAGAATCAAGGACTCAGTATTCACCACTATCCAGTCTGTTCCATTGTGGTGATCTGATAATCCAAAGAATGCTCTTTTCTTTTAATTGTGGTGAAAATACATATACCAAAACATGGCAACTGAAAA